CTACCGGTCACACATTGTTGATCTCGTCCCGATCGGCTAGTGCCACTTGTAACCTCCTGCTCAGAGTCTTCATATCTAAAAGAGCGGATTTCTATCTTGAGCTCTATCGTAGTTTTGTTGTCTCTAAGATGTTGTACTGCTCACAGATCTGGTCTCCACATCTGGTTTGCGAGAAAAACTTACTGGCACGAGTCCAGAAACGGTTTCTCAAACAATTGTCCTACAGATGTAACCTCGAGCTCGGCCCAAACCGCGTTCCGACTATAGAATCTCTCCACCGTCTCATTGATATCCGTACTCTCCGCAAATTGGAGAGTATGGGCAAATTGGATGACTTTTTCTCCATTTCCGAAAATCACCGGCGTTCCAAGCGCACATTGTATCCCAAAGTACGACCCCGTACGGATATTGTGAATAACTTTTATGCCTGGAGGTTGTCTAGACACCTGGGCTATCACCACCCTTGAAATAAAGGAGTTTTCATTCATTCATCACCTTTCGTTCGGAGAAGAATGCAGGGTGTCTTTTCTGAAGTCTTTGGGGAGCGATTTGTGAAAGATTAGACTTCCACAAAAGCACCGGACTCGCGCTCTCTAATAAGCGCGGAATCACCGACCCCTCAGCGGAAGAATCTCGCAGGAATGCACCCCACGGATTCCGGAATCCTTCGCATCGATCGCTGGAGGCGCTGCCAGTAAATTACCGTGGGTACTACCGAGGATCCCATTACACTCACCCGAGTTGCGGCAGACTCAACCCTCAGAAACTCGGATCGAGGCCGAGATCTCGGTGTTTAAAACGCAGACTCCAGCAAGCAGAAGGCACAGTAGGCTTTCGCAACTCCTTCGATCAACTTCACAACTTCTCTGATTGAAACTACTCGAGACGATGGCTTCCTCCACCATCTACAGCTTCCGGTCTCTCGAGGAGATCGAGCGGGACTTGAACGCTCTGGATTTCAAGCTCTATATCGCGGAGATCGACGCGCTCAGAGAGAGAGATCTGAGCGGGAATAGCCATCCACGTTCGGGATTTTCCCAGCAGCGACTCCCGACCCGCCCCATGAATGCAGCGAATATGCGGAGAGGCAGGGACCCGAACGGTCATCGCAGATCGTCGGGCAGGGCGCGCGACGGCTCAGGATCGCAATCGCGCCGAAAAGAGGAGGTCCAGCTGTTACCGCTCGCTGCACTGGACTACTGTCCATTTTGTTTGAAGAATGGTGAGGCAGCCGGAGTATACCGATCCCACACCCTGAAGAACTTCTTCAACAAAGTGACGTGCCCAAAGCTGAAGACTTACCGTTGCCAGATCTGCCACAATGTAGGAGGCGACTACGCTCACACAACCGGCTACTGCCCGCTCCGACCTACGTCGAAACAGTCTCGGGACTTCCACTACCTCAAGTTGAAGAACCAGGACTGAAATCTGTTATTGAGTGCTTTGGTTAGATCCATGGGAATTTGCAAGGACGCCGAAGCGTACCATCAGAGAGTAAAATTCAACTTTTTTTCCAAGCATGTCAGTGACCTCGATTGGTTTTAATAAAAGCTCTAAACGTACTTCAACATCTCGGTCTAATAGAAGCCTCAACGTCTGGGAACTCGAAGGCTAACCTTCCGCACATTCTCTGTGGAGCCCCGACGGTGACCTTCGCTTCTCACCGCTGGTTGCTCACACGGCGGAGGAGGATGAGGAGCGACCCTCGAGAGTGATTAATCCCAAGGCTTTGTCAGTCATACGCTCCGAAATCAATAATTATCGTCATACAGAAACCTCAGACTCCGGCGAGATTCTCGATTCTCACAACCCAGTCATGGTCAGTAGATGTTTCTGGATGAGCTGCATACCGAACTCTGTCTCCGTTCTCTCTCATGTGATCGGAACAGTGAGCTGGGAATAGAATGAAGGTGGTTTGAGGCGAAAGAATTATCTCGATTATGGGGTCTCGACAACCTCCGGTCCGATACGGAGGCCAAGAGATTGAGTCCGAAATTACGACATGCATTCCGCGATTATGCGGGCCCGGCAGCACGATAACTCTCGAGGCCAGACTTCTTTCAGACCGGTGCAAGAATATCATCGAGAATGGAGCCATGTGGGAATCGGCAATGGTGATCGGAGACTTTTATTGATGGTCTACATAGCATCTCAAAAAACGTTTCGAGTAACTTCCATCTCAAGGGGAGGTCGGCGGAAATCAACCGCGAATCCTCCGGGCTATGTGAATATCTTTTGGCATAATGGTGACCCTTCTGGCGTGGATCGCGCACAAATTGGTGTCTTCGAAAAGTGCGACCAGATAGGCCTCCGCGGCCTCCTGAAGTGCCGATATCGCAGCCACCTGGTATCTGATGTCCCCTTTGATGTTCTTCCCGATTGAGCGTACTAATCTCTCAAAAGGGAGTTTCTTGATAAGCAGTTCAGTAGACTTCTGATATCGCCGGATCTCGTGAAGAGCTATGATACCTGGAATAGAGAGGATCTTATCCCTAGGTGGAGTCAGGTACCGTAGAGAGGACTGTATGCTCTGCGGGCGAAGACCGATGAAGATCGATTTGTAAGCAACGTACCCGGCCTGAACCTCGTCGCAGGCTTTTTCGGCTCTCCCGGGTCTCGGACCTTAGGGGGAGCCTTTCCTGCGGAGTGTTTGCGAGCTGTCTGCTTCTTGTCTCGAGCCATTGCGTAGCTGAAGGTTCCGTAAAGACCACGGCCGGAATTCCGAGAGGTGGGAATGTTAGTGGGAATGTTGAGAAAACTGAATAGCGACCTCGCTTCTCAGCTTCGACTCGATGACGACGCGCTACCTCCGGTCCAGATGTCGGTACGTGAGCATACGGCTGAGTCAGTATGTTTCTGTCAGCAAATAAATTCAGGAATGGTGGAGAGCCTCCGCGATGAGGAGCCGTGGGCGAATCTCTGAGCGTGCATAGCACACGAGCTTGAGATCCCCACCTTGCCTCTTCGCGCATGGGACCAGACCGAATGGGGGGTACTCGTCGGTCGTATGCCTGCATGCATGTTGAGGAAAAAGAATCGGAGAGCCGCACTCGCAATGTGAGCCTCCCGATTCTCGAGACAGCTCGAGACCTGACTGCATGAGAGATGTGTTTGGGAATTTCGAATTTCCGGAGTTCGCTTACCGTGATCGACGCTTCTCCCGCGTGCAGCCAACCGACGTGAAACGAGTTTTACATTCAAAAAGACGGTGACGAAGCTGGCGCTGTATCGCCGCTGCGGCGCGGGAGCCGCAAGCCGTCACCGCTTTTGACCGAATTTTCAGAGCGATCAGCGGTATGTTGAATTAGCGCTCCGAGAAGATCTGCTTGTGAGTTGTGTTGGGCTGAGAGAATATTCTTCGATGGTGAGTTATGTTGAGTGCGGTCCTTGGACTGAGACGAGACGACTCTACTTCCAGCTTCCAGCCCCTCTTCCAGCCATGGGCATCAAGCCCGGTGCTCTTCTTCGATACGCTAGGCTTCGGACATTTTTTTCCCGGAGGAGACCGAAGGAGAGTTTGATCCTCTCTCCGGGGAAAACCCATCTGGTATGCGAAAACCCGGTTCCCAGAGAGAGACGAAGAGGCCCAGAGCTCTCGGGAAAGTCACCTCGTACATAGCGAAATCAGCTGATTGGGAACGCATAGCACGGTCCAATGCGTATGCTCTTGGCTCGGGAAAGCGCGCGATTCACCTGATATGTATCTCGCCTCCTCCAATCGATTGCCGCGATCCCCAGGCCTGCCTCTCGTAAGCGGTTCCGTCTCGGGAATCCCGAGATGCTCGGGTTCCCCGCCTTTCCCCTGCCGGAAGAACTCTGTATGCGAGTCGCAAATTCGACATGGAACAGAGGGAACAACTTGACCTCACGATCCACTTTCTCTCAATCACGCATTAACGCCGTCTGACTTGTCGATCGGGGAAGCGTAGGAAGGAAACTGGAACGAACGGATTCCTGTGAGGCAGCCAGTGCTAGCTTTAGCTACCGCAGTGGGCGCGTATGCCCTCGCTCAATCAAACTCGGGACGATATCTTTCCTAGTGTCCGAGTGCAGATTGTTGGCCTGGCAACTTCGAAAACTCCGCTCCTATATCTTCTGCGGTAGGAATCTTGACGGGCTATCTCAGGAAAACTGCCGACTCAACCTTGATAATGTTTTTGTCATGGAGAGACGTCGAGAAAGTCCGTTAGCAATTCCAAGCGTTCCGAGCGAGCTTCGTAAATATTTCCCGTCAGGCTCTCTCAACTGGCTGCATCAGCCGGCGAAGTTCAGCGAGATGTCGAAGCCTGGAGGTTCGTACTTAGCTTGCGTTCACCGTGTCACGCGTCACAAAGTGAAGCCCTATCTCGGAAATATCCGCGGACGCTAACTATTCTTCACCGATTACAGAAGGATCGCGAGATGACGTTTAGTAGGATGCTCCTCGTGAACATCTCCTTGATGTGTGTCTCGATGAGTCTTCTACAAGAGGAGAACCAGCACGGACGTCGTGTCCGACATCACGAATCAGCTCAACCGATGGAGCTTGTCAGTGGTGCCGCTTGGGCCGCGTCGCAACTTGGTGTGGTGAAAGCGACGTCCCTGCTGATCGTCGGTCTCGGACAGGTTCTTTTCGGAGGAAGCATGCGCACCGACTCGAGCCTTATCCTGCCGAACTCCTCGATATCTGAGCGGACCCGTGGAGGTAGACAGCGAGTGACTTTATTCGAAATCCTGGCCGCGCCGTTGCAAGTCGTGATTATCAGTCCGGCGAAAACTTGGCTAACGGATGCTCTAGCTAAATCAGAATTCGTCCAGGATATCCGCCACAAGTTCCTGCTGCTCATCCTGACGAGATCGCGGGGTAGCCTCTCGTTGAATGAAACGCTCCCGCGGAGATACTGGACTCGAACCATCTTTTGGTCGGGGCATAGAATGCGGAATTTCCTCTGCATAAGGATCCACGACAACTTATTCGTCACGAAAACATCGGACCCAATCAGCGCTTGTGGATGTACGCCACCAGTCTCTATCGTTGAACAAGTTGTCGACGCCTTCGATTTCGAGAAGGAAGAGTCGATTTACGCGCTTTCAGTGAAAGTGAGATCCAATTCGACCGTTTATGATGTCTCTTTCAAAACGGAGACTGTGAATTCCGTGGATCGCCAGCGAGTATTCTACAGAAGTCAACGGTGGAGTTTATGCGCACACGATGCATCGAATTGCTTCTCATACATTGTGCTGACAACTACAGACGTCACAGCTTTGCTCAAGCCCTTCGAAGCTGAAGTGTGGTGTTGCTTATTCCTAGGTGTCCTGGGTGTAGCGACGCTAGTGTCGAAGATGACGAGAGAATCCAGCGTATTCGACACTTTCAGCCATCTCATACTCGGTGCTATAACAGCTCATGATCTGCGCTTCAAACCTAAAAACTACTCCAGTCTCACAGTCGGCTGCACCGCTGTCGCCTTCACTTTCATGATATCGATTGTGTATTCGAATTGCGTTATGTCTGCATTTCTAGACCCAACAATGGAAGTGCCGCCTTCACGCCTTCGTTGGGACTGTCGAATGACCACATGGTGTGACAGCGTGCCCCTATTGGAATATCTTCTGCAGACGGGATCCGTTTGTCATTTCCCGGAGCACCTGCGGCAGAGTCTCGATAAACCCGTCAGCCGGTCTGCGATTTTCAAAGGCGATCGTTATCGGAGCTCACTCAGACTCGTCGTAGACTTCAGAAGATCCTCCCCAGAAACGTTCAGTCAAGTTTTCTTGCTCTCATCGCAAACTAGCAATATCTTGGACCGTTTAATCCAGCATGGAATCGCTTCTCTGGGGAGGATCAAAATCGCAAGAAATCATGCGCATACAAGGAGCGATCAAGGAGTCCGAGGTTCGAGGCTCAGGTCGAAAATAGTAGAGAAAAAAGGACCGAGGGTGCAGTACGTAGCTTTCAATACGACGCGAGAATGGTTCGACATGGAGAGCTTCGTCAAAATCCTACCCTTGTTTGGCATTTGCTACCTGCTCGTTCTCTCAGTCAGTTGTCTGGAAATGCTCGTGTTTACGCATAAGAATACCAAAAACTTTTTCGGGCTGATCCACACAGCCAAGGTTTAACGTCCCGGGTACTGTTATTCACATTGCTTCCGAGGACGGATCCATAGAGCAAATGTACCCAGGAGGATCAAGGCCGAGTACCTGCATATTTTTCCGGCAGCAGGGATCGAACCCACACCGCCTCCCGCGCGGCATAAGAATACCGTGAACTCTGAGGCCTTCTCTCTGCTCCACAAGGGAGGATCACCTGGATGAGAGCGAATGTCTTTCTGTTTCGCCCTTCTCTTATGTGATGCCTCCTCATTAGCTACCGATTCTCAGGGGGATCGTTGCACGTTCCGCTTCGTCGGCTTGGGTTTTTCTATCATATTGATGAGAATCTCAGCTCGTTGATAGGAAACTCCGAGTGAATGAGAAGTAGAAATATTCCTTCTCCTTCCCGATTCTGACCGAATCTCTCCGAGACCCACGGATTTAGCTCAGTATTCGTCGACGTCATCGTTGATCTTTCGTTCCGAACTTGCGATGACTCCGCGTCGAAGAAGGACCTCCGAGCCCCTGGGTCAGAAATATCAGGTCAGAAATGGAGCGATGCTCCTGGCCGAGGATTCCGGTGTCGGGAACTGCGATCCCTGACTCCTCCCGGTGCCTTGGCAATCGAGCAGGATGCCTATGAGGGATTCTCGACAAGACAACAAGACGGCAATCGAAAAACGGCTCCATCATGGCTTGTGTTGAGGTTTCGAAAGTCAACTCCGAAAGTAACGAGGCTTCCATCCTTACGGCGGCGACCGAGAGAATAGAGCTACTTACTTACATACTTACATGCTTACATGCTTACATACTTACATACTCACATACTCACATACTCACATACTCACATACTTACATACTTACATACTTACATACTTTCATACTTACATACTTACATACTTACATACTTACATACTTACATACTTACATACTTACATACTTACATACTTACATACTTACATACTTACATACTTACATACTACAACTTCACTGCCCACGAGGGGGGACAGTCTTTTGTTAAGGTTTCGAAGTAACCTGGAATCAGAGCCGGATATGCAGACTCTATACTCCAGCCAGGAACTTACCGTCCCGGTGAAGACATGGTCATTCAAGTGGCTTCGGTCATATGGATTCGGTCAAGAGACTTCGGTCATATGAATTCGGTCAACAGGGAAGTCACCCCGAAGACATCCCTTCGGGGAATAATTCTCGGAATCGTCAAATCTCCAGCCGCCGTAGAGACACCAGTGGAGATGACTTCTAGTGACGATTTCGGATTCGGAACATATTCTCCAGCTTTATTCTCCTCTGCACTCCGCCTGTTCCTCAAGTAATCGGATTTATGGAATCGAGTTCCGATGTTTCCCATTCTCCCGCAGAGCCTCGTTGTGACGTTGATGGATCTGAATTCGCCTCCCCCCAGTTTTATCTGTCAACTCAGGAATTATGATTGAACGCCGCCAAGAATTCCGCAAGCTCCGAATATATATTGAAGATCCGAGAATCCTTCAGTTTTCGTCAATCTAGCGGCTCAAGTCTCTCAGGAGCCACTTCCGTCCTCCGGGCGATCTCCCTTTGTGGACGCATTCGTCTGGGACAAGGTCTGCGATAAGTTCAGCCTCCTCGAAAGGCAAGAATGGGAGGGAGAGACAGCAAAACTCAGATCAGAGAGAATAAGGCCCGCGGATGAGCCGATCGGGAAGAAGCGTGCAATTTAAAGAAACAAGGATGTCGACTCTCCTGCACACTCCACACGCTCTTCTCGAGACTCTGGATTCCATGCTGCCCACGAGCGTCCAAGCAGGGAGGTGAGAAAATTCGTCACTATTCGCGTGGACGCTTAGCCGACGATAGATTCCAGAGAACCATTTTTGTGAGGAGTGTCTGCACAGAAAAATTACGGGGAAGCCGAGCGAGAGAGGATCCGGTTGAAAATCACTGGAGACTGGAGAGAGATGCTCGCGCCTCCGATAAAGAGGAGCTCCTGTTCAAATGGAATAAATCGCCAGCTATTTTGGGAGATATGATTCGGAATCATTCAACGATCCGGCCAATCGAGTCCCTCGAGCGTCCTCATTTCATGAAATCGATCTCAGCGGGATGTTCAACTCTCTTTGATCATGCTTGGGACGGCGGTTATGCCATGCTAGCCGAAATTTCACCGCCTTCCCGAGCTCTTATTGACTTCCACCGGGGAATCGGCCCGGAATTTCGCCCAAATGCCACCGTAGGGACGGGCCGTGGACCTCGCCGAGCCCTTTTCATGTCTCACGGCTAGAGTCGCGATATAAGGGACACGTGTATTTTCGTCAGCTTTGGCGAAGTTCTTGGAGTTTTCCACAAAATGTTCGCCCTTTGAAATTCACCAAATTCTGTTGATAATTGAATCCCCACACTATTTCGCCGTTCGTGGCGCCGAAGCTTGGATCGGAGATGTTCTCCACAGGGAGTCGTCTCTGAACGGCCATATCGAAGCTCGCCCGAGTTTCGCTTATCGCAGAATGGTTCGAGAGTTGAAATAACTTGATAGAATGAACTAGAAACATGGAATAAATGATATTTTTATTTATAGAATAATCTTGTCATGGAGATGTTGTCTGAATCGAATCAACCTATGCCCGAAAGGCCATCGGCATTCGGTAATGATCCGAGGACCGCTGCCGCATTTCCCTTCTGCACTCCCATGGATATCCTCTGTAGGAGAAACTCTTCAGCTCTCTTATCCCCGGATGACAATTTGATCCGGTTTCCCAAGTCCCGGAGGAAGGCCTCTGAAGACTCTCCTATGACTCCCAGCGTTTCGATGGCGACCGGCTGAACAAAGAAACGGTTCTCGAGCTCCTTATATTTAGAAAACTTTGTTTTCTCTGCCAGTTTGGCCACCTCACCCGCAGCACGGACCGCGAGCGAACGGTGTGATGGGCTTAACGTGTCCCATACTGTCGCATCCCAGACCAGTGGTCTACCTGCGAACAACGATGTCAAAGTGAGGCCGTCAGGACGGATGGCGGAGTTACGCGAGAGGCCCGTTGGCTCCATGGGAATTTTCGCGGACCGCAAGGCGTTAGAGATGACGGCGTTCAAGGCTCTGTGACGCGAGTGACGGCCGCTTCAGCGCGGACAACTCAGACCGTGTTCACCTAGAGCGGAGACTGGACCCGTACATCTCGCAAAGGCATGTGGAGAGCACAGAGGGAGTCCCTATCGGAGACCGGCAGCGATGCGGAGCGAATTGTTGTCCTGCATCGTACCGACCGGAGGGGATGGGATGGCATAGAGCCATTTACCACTGGTAGGGTGGAAAGAAAGCCCTGAGTCTCGCTATGACTCTGTCATCGACGACGCCTCGAATTAACTGAGAACGTCTTGATGATACGATGATACGGTCGAGGGAGCGCTGCGAGATTTCGTCCGGAAGGGTATTCCATCTAGACTGGAACCTCTGGGTCAAGAGGGCGATACGGGAGTCCAGATCAGTGGCTGTGCTCGCTGGAGAGGAACTTGCGGCTAACGACCTGAATCGGCTCAATGAGCCTAGGTGCGCACTAGAAGCCAAATCATAGTTTGATCGAACTCCCAGGCCACCAGAGGCGATGGGAAGAGAAGACTGCAACCAGGGGCTGTCTGGTGACACGTTGAGATTGAGAAGCGTGCATAAGCATAGGCGCAGCTTCAGGTAGAAATCTTGCAGAACCTCTTGGAAGGCCGGAGACATAAGCCGGAGACAGTAGCAAAGTCTCGGACTTTTTCGATGTCAGACATGACAGAGTCGCATGAGGCCCCCAGCACACCATCATCCAAAAACCATGGTCGGAATTCTGACTCTAAATTAGAAACGAGCTGATAAAATAGAATAAATTGTATCTTTGCGATATCTGCTTTCCGTTCCTATGTCCGGACAGTGTCCTTTTATAGGGAAGAGTAATGTCTCCTCTTATCGCAATTTTACTCATACCCTTGCAGCCCAGGTTGAAACGAAGGAGGGAAGAATCTTCAGTCGCAATGCTGAAATATTGGTCTCCTACTGGAGCATTACTCCACTCGCGATGGATCGTACTTTGCATGTGCGGCGTTCCAAGTCCTATGCGCAGCGCACTCACGGAAAATTCGTGTTCTCGGCCCTATGACTCTGACAGAGTTCACTGATCTTCAGAGCATTGAAAGACAAGAGGAATTACTCTGTAGCGGATATATAGATAGAATAAGCCCATGGTGCGGAATAGTGGGGAGCCCGAATTAATCCACACGAGCTGCAAGCTGCGCTATATTCGAGCTCTCGGTGGATTCGAAGATTCGCGGGCTACCCGCCTCTCCGTGGCGCTTCCAGCGCGCTTCTCGATTCGAACGTGTCTGGTCGTCCGCCATCTTGCTGTGGCCACTTGAATTGAACCTGTTCCTCTGCTGTTCTGAAATCTGACGTTCTGAAGCTGGTATGGAGCTTTCGGATCAGCAAAAACCTGCTGTCTGACAGCAGGATCCCAAAGTGTAGTCTACGCTCGTATCGCTCCGGAAGAACTCGCTCTTTCGTGGTTTAGAGTTTGGGGAGACTGCTCCGGTTTCCTCGATTGTCTTCCTTGAGCTCCGAACGAACAGTGAATTTACATGAGTGTCTCCCACGCGAGATCATCAAGACTTGCGGGTCCACATGGAGGATAATCGAGTCGGCGACTTCCTAACCCTCAGCGATGGAGCGCTCTTCGGTCGCCGTATCTGGTGTGACCGAAGGGGTCGCTACATCGAAAATGGTGAAGAATGCGTCGCGGATTTTTTCTTCCATCAGATGAGAAAGAACTCGGATGGATCAATCATTCATCTTCGGTGCAAGCACTCCAAGAGGTACATTCTTCGCACCATAGACGTTCTATGAATTCATGCACGAATCCCGATACCCGCATCAGAATTACAATCATCGCTTCCCGCAGTAAACGAGTTCAATGTCCCGTAAAGGGGAAGATCAAAGTCAGTGGAGAGATAATCTCGATGAGGGGCTCACATAATCATCCTCCTGAATTCGATGGCCACGGCTTGGACGTTCGGACGGCCAGAGGGAACTGGCTGAGAGCTCTGCGCGAAAATCCGCAGGAGTCCCCGATAGAGGCAGTCTTGAAGGAGCGACGGAGGTACTTCCCACATTTCCATATTTCTTTCTGCAGAGCATATGAATTCTCTCCAGAGCCTGAAGAATTCACGAGTCCTCTCTCCGCAGGCTACCGCTGGAAGTTGCTGCGCAAATCGTCCCTGTCGCCCATGTTCCCACGGCTCGACGCCAGGCTGCTGCGGGGAGAGCACCACGGATATTTAAACCACCGAAATTGCACGAGGTGATCAACGCCAACAGGATTCTGGGTTCTAAAGCCTCGTCGGGTGGTCGACCTTTCTTGCGCATAGACCGTCCTGAAAGCCTCAGCAATGTAACAGCCAATGAGAATCAGGTCGGCTCCGGTACGGAAAGCGAGCTCTCAGAGATAGAGAAAAAGGTCGAAGCCTGTGAGGCCAAGAGCCCAGATATCGATGGCGACATCAGTCATTCTTGGGACCTCCTTAACATGGGACTCATAACTCCGATGAGCTTCATCGATCGCGTCAAGCATAGAATTGACGTGGGTGAGTCTCATTGGGAGAAATACCTTAATGGAACCTGGAACGTCGATCCCCGAATCGATTCTTCGATTTCTGAATCGACGTTTGACCGGAGATTGACATTCATCTGAATCTTCGTATGATATTCGCTTGCCGTTTGTCCTGACTCCTGGGCGAATAGTCAACCTCACGATGCCCGCAGGTAACTCTCCGACCGAAAGGATCTCAGACCGATATTCTCAGATAGCAGACAAGGGTCTCGCCAAGAAAATTCTTCAGCACGACCATGACTACGAACAGTCGTGTGCAGTGTATCTCGGAGATCATTCGTACACGCACGCTCCGGCTTAGGTTGGTGGAATTTCGCGCTCCAGACGGAACGCAATTCCGCGATGGGTGGATAAATCTTCAGTTTCATCGAGCTGGCTGATGAGGAGACTAGGATTCATCTCAATAACGAATATTCATTTTCCAGTTTCGAGTGCGCTTGGTCAAACTTCGCGCACAAACTCGTTGTTGGAAACCTGTGTGAGCGATCGATGCACTTGTGCTATCCGCGGAGGACATCCCACCCTTCTTACGAATTGAGAACTCGTATATTCACACCAACTTCTGTACAGAAAGTATACATTAAGTTCTCCGGAAGGCTTGAACTGTAGAAACTCTCTGGCCAACCGGAGCCCGATTCCTTTTTTTGTCTGATAACGCACTTTGGGAATGTCCGCTGACAGACAGTCCCGATAGGTCGAATTCATTTTGAGTGGCGTAACCCGTTTCCGAGAACGAAATGCAGGAAGTTCTTGCAGAGCTCTGGAAAAATGCGATTTGTGATCCTTATTCGAGGCTTGTCTGTGTATCGGCAGCTCAAGACTTCCCTGAAACACCATTTTGACCGTTCAGGATGAGACAGTTCCCGGGACTTTGTCTCATGTCCCGGCGTCTAATCCGCCAAGAATTTTTAACTGAATCCTGATGTTATGATGGAATCAAGTGTTGTGATCTCAATAAAGAAAAATCCGTCGATCCAAGGACCCTGACTCGATGCCATTGTGGCAGTCTCCTGCGTCCCCTCCTTAAGGAAGTCGGGACCGTTGCCTACTTCTGTTTAGACTAGAATAAACTCCAAGCGTGCCCAGCCCGGAGAATTATCGATCCACTCAGTCCGCCAATCAATTCCATCTCGCAATTCACTGAGCCGTTTATATTTCGATTCTACGGAAAACATTCGATTGTTCAAGATTCGATTGGTCCCATAAACGGCGAGGCGATTCACGCACAATTCTCGAAAAATCCCAGCGTAGCCGTGCTGAGTCGCATTGAATTCACGGAACGCCGCGCTGCAGTGATTTCATCATTCGATCGCCTGTTTGTCAGTCAGAGCGATGAAGAAGCCGTCGCGTCGGTCCCTTTCCGGGACATGCCCGACCTCCTCTCCTTCTCCCGCGCAGAGGGCCTCGTTCCGTTCGGTCTTCTGACCAATGCGGACGGAGCGAAAACTTTTCTGAATTTTGTTTCTCATCCGGCTCATTGTCGGTACCAGCCGATAACGCTCGGCTACTGCAGTAAGAGCATCAATGTCGATGCGAGGAACAAGAGCATCATCGCGAGATCCTCGAAAACTGTGTTGAGGGTCATCGGTTTAAGCAAGAGTGTCAGAGGCAGTCCTCTCAACGATAAGCTCGGCGACATCAAGGACAGCACAAGGATCACAGCTGACAGGAACAACATCTGATCGCGGATTAGTACTGCAGAAGACGGAAATCAGCGACGGCGTCCGTCGCCGAAGATTCAAATGATCTTGATGCGCGCACCTGTTCAGTAGTTTTTCGATGATCCCGAATGTTCGCAGTGTCGACACCCACAATAAGCCTCACGGATTGAAGCGCGGGTCATTCAGTGCACGGAACTCAGACGTGTAGTGTTCAGTGACCGCAAGCCGTAGTGCTGGACAACAACATACGAGCATACGAAGTTGGTATCGACAAAAATGAAGAGGGGAATCTTCAGAATCACCTCCCGTTTGAAGAAGATGGCTGTCTTCCGAAAGGTGCGAAAAAGTTCCGTCGTCTGAGCGGCAGGTTCACCTGCGAGCTATCTTGAATCCTTTTATGGCGAGTCCTGGTTTGAACTGAGGCTATGCCAGTGATGTCTCGCGTAGCTCTGACTCAAAATTCGCTCACTGCGATGAGATCATCAAGATGTCTCGGAGACATCAATATTTGCTTAAGGCGTCTCTTCTTCCTCTAGTTCTCAGTCTCTGTTCCGAGTGATGGTCGATTCGGATGAGTAGTGTGCGCTGTTCCGGTCCACAACGTTCGTTCCGGACGATTTGGGATACATGAGGGATCGTGGAATAGGCCAATTAGCTAAGTTCCTCGTGGTCCGGGTCCTGTCAATACCCAATTGTTCTATCAGAGAATCGCCTCCCGATCCAAGTGTGATCTGTAGCGAATGGTATTACATTTGTTTCACTCTACCATACCAGAGAGAAACCGAGGCTTCGATTCCTCGCGGACTTCATCCACGGCACGAGGGGGAGAACATCACCAGTCACCAAGAGGTACCTCGGGTTAAGGCTCCAGTAGCGGCCGTTGACCGCGTCATGCATGTGCGCGTTGTGACCTCCGGAATGGACTCCATACATCTCGAGCATTATGAGAATGATCGTCATGAAGCATTTCCTGATGATTGCCATATGAATTACAAATTAGAGATTAGAGCATCTACCTCGTCCGAGATGCCAAATCCGAGTCTCTGGAGTGAGCGAGAAGATCGGCGGTATCGCTTCTTCTTCGCTTTATCGATTCGTCCAAGAGGAGAACTTCCAGTCACTGAATCGGGTGCATTGGTATGGAGTGAATTTTCTCATTGACTTGAGTTGTGCGGTTCGCAGCAGCTTAGGAAGAATAGCGATGAGAACGAAACAAACCAGAATATATCTTGGATTGAAAATCCATTGAAACGCAGGCTGGAGACGAATGACAGGCCACATGAGACGCTTTTCTGTGGATGACGTTCTATCTGGAGAATGTTCCACCCGCCTTCTCATGAGGAACGAAAACGGGAGGAGAAGGAGCACCACATGACGCTTTGAGTTCGACTGGAGTCCGCTGTCGGGCATGACCGCCTGTTTCCGAAACCCGAGCTGGTGCCCCGTTTAACGGCGCGATGCCTCTTGTAGCCGTCATCGATGCCCCTGTCGGCCTATCGTAAAGCTCGGGAAGATGAACAATCCTCCATCTCAAGCGGGAAAGATCCGATTCTCGGACTGTCAGAAGCAGTCTAAGGCTCCACGCGGTTGGGACTCCGACGCTATTTTCCGGGGTTTCTGAGCTGGTTCAAGATTTCAACAAGCCCGCCTACTGTCACAATCCTGGAAAAAGCCTATCAATCATTCTGAACTAGGCATCCGTAGATTCGTGGCCTCAGAAACATGAAGATCACGATGAATGCGAGAATCTTACCGACCCTCGATCAAGAAGGGCCGACACAGAGGAAATCGGGACTTGTCGGGAGGAAAGGAAGTTGATTAATTTGAGGAGCCTGTCGGACAGACGGTTGATGGGACTTGAATCATCCACCCGTGGATTCATGGGAGATGACATAACACCTCGCTCTCGAGTTTCCGACTCTAAACTTTGGTTCGGTGCCTCCACGGGAAGACATCGTCTGTAGTTTCGAACGTGACTCATCGATAGGACCTTCGTTCACAATTATTCTAGACCTTGGGTGACACAGTGGAACGAATCTGTGCCAAGAATTCCTCGATCTGCAGCCTCTGCTCTCGTTTTATTCCGTGAGGCCGGTTTGGTAATTCCGGTCCCTACAAAGGCATTGAGCTCGATGATATGGCAGAAGTTCGATTGGAGGCCGAAAACTTTGTCTCAATTTTCTAATTGAGCAGTGGTCATTTAGAATATGCAGTCGGGAAGCCGCTCATTTTGGGAGCGATCGTGATTCGATTAGCGCAAGCTCCATCGTTTCCTCTCAATATCTCATGCTCGGGGAAATGGAGAGCTAGCGAACGGATTCTTTGGTTGAAAATTATGATACGTAACCTGATGTTCCGTCTATGGAAATCTCGTCAGATGAGGGACCTCTACATTGCAGCTCAAGAGCACGAAGTTTCCGTCGAAGATGAGCCTTACGGGATATGACGCGGTACCAATGACGCTGGATTTTGGACAATGTGTAACGGTGAATCATCCTGAAACGGACTCGAGACAAGGGCTGGATGTCGGTCGAGCCACTTAGAGCGCGCCGGTATTCTTCGTCGTAATCGTCTCGAGTTGCTCGATCTCGTATCCACTCGGGATAAGGAGATGATGTGAATTACGCTCACGAGGAACGAGGATACGCGGGATCAAGGCCTTATCTGCAATGAGAGAACTCGCCTGCTTCAGAGAGCTTCAGAGAAGCGGTCGATGTTTGGGTCCGACCCGTACTTTCTCTCGTAACGCGTGTGCGGCAGCGCTCGAACTCACCAACACAACACGCACTCGACACTCTGCGTTGGCGGATCGAAAGTCGAACCCTCCATGTGATTACGCTCGATTTTCGAAGAACTATTCGCGAAGTCCCTCGCTGTTTACTCGGTCGTGATATACGACGCTTCCCGACGTCCTTGTCGTTGAATCTAATGTGTGACCGTAATTCCGTGAATCAGCCGCGGAATGGAGGGCCACATCGGCCGGCAATCTCATCTCCGGTACGTGGTCCTGTCTGACAGGGGAACGTGGCGCCTCTGCTGAGCTAAGCATTCATACCGTTAGCGTCAATTTTCTATTTCTTCCATTCCGCGGACCAGACCGGGCATAAAGTATCGTAATTCGTGAGCTCGAGATGCGCCACGATATCCTTCAGAGAGCAAGTGAATCGCTTTTCTGAGCTCATCGGATCTCGGACCTGAGTCTAAGGGCGGGAATCTGCTCGAGAAACACTGTGACATGTCACGATGACGTGGTTCGATGGCTTTCCACTGCCGCTACAAGGGTCACACCTCGTCGAAGAACGGTTCTCGGAATCGGGTCGCTTTCGGATCGAGACGGGGCATCTACACTGATCGACAGAGTTTCGGATCTCCCGGCCTGGGCGTTTTCCGAAACGAAAAACTCCCACGTGCTCTTCCCAGTGTTGCACAATCCGACTTGTCTCTTGGTCCGATGATTTCTCGTGAGCATTGCAGACACGCTCATCATTTTTTCCTTGACGGTGACGGCGACCGCGCCAGTGTTGCTCGCCCGAGATCTTCAAAAGCTGCGACAGCGAGCCATGTCAATCGAAAGAGGAGACGCTGTCTCGCTCAGAATTCATGCACGAATCAACTATTGTCAATTTCAATCTTCCGCGGCCTATCTTCCATTGTCGAACGTTTCAGAGAAACGAGCCCAGATCAGCGCAGTGGAGCGAATCAATCTCACGGCTTCCCTTTCTGCTTCTCTTTTCTCTGCGAGTTCTCTGCGAACTCATGGAACGAATATTTTTTTTTGGGCAAAGACAATGTATATTCCGAATTCTTTCGAGGGTTTCTGTGTCTATTGTCTATCATCTCAATGGCGAACGAACATCGGAGGGCTCTCCGAAATTAATTCGAAACCTTCCCGGTAATGGGCTCATCGCTGCCGATCTACTGAAAGTATCGTGACTCTCAAATCCGGATTTTCCAAGACCAGGAACAGAGCTCGTCAATAATCTCTCGGTATGTTGAAAGAATTCCGGACGGCCCGTCAAGAACATCTGAGCGCGTCAAAGCCCGCCGCAGGAACAATTTTTCATGTCATAGTGTAGCGGTAGCTATCGACTCAAAAGTTGTGGTTCCCGAGGCCTCTACTACACTTCGTCGAATTGCAAGAATCGAACTCACTCTGAAGTGCCATGGCTGAGTCCCAGACGAGTCCTGGACTCCTCGAACCAATGGGAACGTAAAATCGCTGATTTTTCGGAAAGCTCGCTGCGCGAGTACCGGAGCTGATTCTCTCCCTCGCCTCACGGGACGAGAGATTGCTCATCTGGTATCACCGCGAGCCGTGTATGTGTCTCGCTCCTCGATGCGCTGTATAATAGGCTACGTTGGAGTTACTATACGCTTTCTGTTATCCGCTTGCTGTCTTAGCTATAGGGCAAGCTTTCAAGAAATCAATTCGGTGGCTCCGCGAGATTGGAAGAGACACGAATGTTCATAGGTATATATTATATCGCTTCTGAGAGGAAGTTCTAATCGGGACTTATCAATGGACGTGGCATCCATAGACTCGGGTGCGTAGAACCCGAATGTTTGTGGAGAGAGTAAGAAAATCGATATTCTTCCAAATTTTCAGACGAGCTCAGGCGACCAAGTGAAGGACAATTCCACGTTTTACACAGAGGAACTAGCCGAAGAACAAGAACAGATCATCATGGAGAAAGTTTACAGCGAAGCCTTGTATGCCGTAATGCACCGTGTCGGCCGAACAGAATACAGGTCTGCTAGTTCTCCTCACGTGTAGCGAAGCAGTCGTAGACGGACGTGATTGTCTACAAATAACACCTTTGCGAAGCTGAACCCCCTGTACCACTTGTATTCTCGTGTTTTTTTCCCCGCGTTCAGGAAGGAGGACTTATATTTTTTCCTGAAAGATGCCTTCGCACTCGAGGACGACAAGCATTACGAATTGCTTCAGAGCGTCGGACAGGAAGAGAAGCCACAGACGTGCGTGGAAGTCTTCGTGGAACGTGCGGAGAATCTGATTGCGAAAGACGTGAATGGTAATTAAGGCCCTCCACCGTAGCTCCGGAACGCGGAGACTGAACTCTTAGATATATTCTTCGAGGAACGGCCCTCGGCTTGGACGGAATTCCGAAGAGCGATTAGCCGAGAACAGATCCCAACCGCTTGTCTCTGTTGTCATAGCGAAACATTCCTTCCCGATGGAAATGGCTGAATCTGTGAGAATGTTTAAGGTTTCAGCGATCCCTATTGTATGCTGGGCATACAATTGGGTGCTGGCGGCTATGAGGGGACCTGTGACATGAACAACATAGAAGCTACCCAAGTTATGACCACGAAAGTACAGCACGCGAATCTGAATCCTGTCTGGAACGAGAAATTCATCCTGTAAGTTTCGTCTCCCTCGGTGTCGAGAGGCAAAAAGGCTGATCGTGGACCCGAAATCAGTTCAATACTCGATTGAATTCTCTGGCTTTGAATATCTCATTTTCCTCCCAGAGATGTCAAAGACGTTCTTTCGGACTTGTTCCACTTGGATATATGGTGAGTATTCCCATCGAGCATCGATTTAGTACGGTCATTTATTTCACCCACAGATCGAAGCACTGAGATGGGGATGATTATCGAGGGGAGAGAGAGGGAAATAACGAGAATAATTATCATGAACTCAATGGTCACCTGTCTGTCGAATGAACCCTCTTTGAGCTCTCGAGGTGAACCCTTTTCTGGCGGACGGGAGTCCGTTCCTACCCAAGCTTGCCGAGGGCGTCCCCCTGTCCTGTGGAAGTCGAGCCGAAATAAGTGATCTAGCAAACTTTCTCTCAAAGGGACGAAGATATCGAGAAGGGAAATTTGATCGAAGCCGCTTCTAAAGTGACCGACGTCAGCTCAATCAAGGGTCTGGGTCGATTTTTTAAGCAAATTGCTGAGTCCACGAAGGGAAGCGACGCACAAGATGATTTTCTCGGCTGTGTAACGATCCCTCTGAAGGTAAGTGTCTCCGGATCCTTGAAAAAAATCGTCATACTCATTCCCGTTCTCCGGCTCTGATGTGTTCCTCGATAGTGGGAACTCTCGGAGCGCAGGGTCCGCTGAACGATTTTCTCCGGCGGGACAAAAAAAAGGGCTCGAACATCTGTCCCTACGCCTTTCAGGAAGTTCCTGGATCGGGGATAAACGAGTGGCTCCAGTTGACTTCTCGCTTCAGTAAGGGTTCAACGATAAGAGGTCGGATCAAGCTGGAGCTGACTATACGCTGCAGGAAGCGGCGCGGAAAGGATGTTTCACAGGTCGGCATCAGGGCAGAGGAATGAAGAGATCTGGACGCGTTAATCCCTCTCTTAGTCTGACACAGGCAGCTTATTACAGGAAAGCGACTCGCCGTCAGCGGTTCGCACTTACGAGACGCTGTTGACAATCTTCGCTGAACAGCAGTTGCAACACGCTCAGGTGGGTTAGTGCTGCTCCTATCGAATCCATCGTTGGCGAGTCTCGACCCTTGACGCCAAAGCGGCATGATCAACTGCAGATTGACGCTCCGAGAGAATTACCTAATGGTATTGAATTGCTGTTTCGAGAGTGGGTGGGAAGGTGCCGTCGTTGTAGTCTCCCCTAGAGCTCATCTGTTGCTCTCATTGTCTGCTTTGCTCTTCCACCTGACATCCGAATCACAGACTCTGTACCATTATTCAAAAAGCGACTCAGACAATACCTACTGCACTGTCAAAATGACAGACTGATGTCTTTCTGAACCCATACAATACGAGTATCTCCGATAGTTTCAGCGACGGCCACACTATTCCAAGAATAAGGACGCGCTGTCATTATCGCCCCCCAAAGATAGAAGGCCTGACCCCCGCGGCACACGCCAAAGAAAAAATCACAACTCGATAATAAACCATGTTTAAATCAAAAAAAAAAGTAGGAAACGATGATGGAGGAATTCTACCGAGAGGTCGACGCGTAACCCAAGGCGTCGCGTCGACTGAGGTCTCCTCCCACGGAGCCTGCTACTCGCATGATTCCAGAAGGGAACTTTAAAAGATACGCCTCAGGTGGATGAGAGAGCAGTGCTCCCACCGACATGGGCGGCGGAACGGATGATGAAAAAGTGCCGGTCCCGGGAATCTGCGAGAGTCATGGTGGAGATGGAAGCGCGATCACCGATGACCGCCTCTTCCGCGGGGAATAGCATGTTGTCATCTGAAACCTCATTAGGCAGTGATTTCGCTCTTGTTCCGAAGCATGCCCACGCATTCATCGGGAAATGACATCACTTCGCAATGACGCAACGTCTGATGGAGAGAATTGCATTTCCCCCATTCGAATGCTTCACGGGTCGGAACCCATATCGGGCGAGGGTCTCCTAAACGGGGGTCACGGAGAGCGTACTGAGGTGCGAGGGATGCAGCCGAGTCGATTGCCGGTCCGCGACGCAATGAAGAAGCGAGCGAAATGTGAGATCGGAGCTAGCCTCGCTCGTATTCCAGGCGGGAACAATACGTCGGATCTCTATTCCAGACCTCTGAGAAATGGTCGGGCTTCATACCGCCGCAAGCTACCGCTATCCTAGACCAAATAGCCGTACAAGGGAATCTAAGTCCTCTGCAGCGCAGCGTGTCACAATGGACTGTCTACGTGAATATCAATAACACCGCACAGCTGGATTACAAACTCATCCTCAGCTACCTCAGCGATCTCAACACTCAATGGCTGAAGGTCAACGATTTCTCCCCCAATCAGGTGCGAATTGAGAATACTCGGCAGGGGAGGAGCTGAACTCTGCTTCCGGATCTGAATAATATTCTGTTGAGCCGTGGAGCACTCGAGGAAGATATATACGCAAACATCGAGTGCCCATGAGGTGCTGCGGGCGGTAAAGTTTTTTCGGAGATATCTGTCGCGTGTAATGAATCTCGCGCTCTCCCAACTCCGCTCTCCGTACACGCCCAACCCTCACGTCCGTAGATATCCGGGTGATTCTTGAATTTGCATGGGAGACCTCCATGACTTATTCTGATGCTTCCAGGTCAGAGCCGTGGAAGAGGCTACCGACTGCTTCGTCTCGCACAGCCTGAGACTCTTGAGGAAACATTGCGAGATTTGGCCATCAGGGACTTTCGAGGGACAGGCGAACATGAACGGCCTTCTGAAGTAATTCTTGAGGATCAGAGACGACTGAATACAATTAGGCTAGATATAGGGCTCCATCGAACGAAATGATCTTGTGGCTTTCTTATGCGAGCAAGCCTAGGTGCTGCGGAGAAGTCATTTCCGGTATGATTATACGAAACCCGGCGTGGGAACCCTTTTTCCCCCCAAACCTTTCTGCGTCGGAAGAAAGCGATGTCCCGGGTCGGGGGTCGGGGCTCGATGTCGCTCGTTGTCGGGGGGAATTTCGATAGCGCGAAAGGAGTTCCGCTGATCGGCGCTCAGCCGAGTCCATTATTTCGAGTCTGCGATACAAGAATAACCGAGAAGAATAAGAGGACAAACGCGACGACGACCGAATGACATCCCAATGATTGCAGATGCCTGGGTCTTATCAGGAGAATGTCTGCCTTTCGTCAAACCGACAACGATAAGCAACGTAGACTGCAGGAGGACATCGAACTCGCACTCACCGTAAGTCGACCACGACTAACGCGTCAACGCAAACTTATCTCGGGCAAGATACGCTTCTATTCGCAGGAAAACTCCCTCTCGCTTTTTGTTTATCGGTCCGCCTCTCCTTGTTCCCGTTTCTCCATTGTCTCCCTTGCTATTTCTTCACGATCGATGAACGAGGTCGTAAATGCCTCTCTTACGGAGCTGGTCTCCGATACCTCCGACTCAGCACCCGTTCCCATTCCTATCAATGTTGGAAAGGACCCAAATGAGAAGAGCTTTGACTCGGACTCGAGGCAAAGATTCGCACCAATGGCTCCGTTCACATCGGAAGGCCTCACCCTCCAGACTAGAAACCTTGACGAGCACTTTACCGGAATGGTCATAATTCCAGGAGGGAGCTCAATCCTGGCTCAAGGCTCAAATAGCAGCCAGGGAGCCCATGACCTTCGACACGGACGCTTCGATCCAGGGGTACATTGAAGTGCTTCGAGACGTCTCGCAAGAGCTGCGTCTGGGACAGAAATACTACCACGACAGATTTTCCGGGTTCGTACTTCTCTGGTTCAGTCGGCTGAGAATCGAGGAAGAAGGAGAACAAGCTCAACATTTTGTTGAGAATTTTCGACGAGATGTCATTTAGATTTTCTCGTTACGCTTCCGCAGCGAACTCGGAGTTCCGTACACAAACCTCATCTACAGGAGCTACGAGCTCGAAGTGAGTCTCCCAAATAGGATTCTGAATTGATGCCGATCGTCCTGCCGAGAAGAACCTTTTTTCTTTCGGCGTTCCCACTCGATTTGGAGGAATAAGTGATCCAATATATTCCCGAATGATGCTCCCAAAGCTCGAAGAAGAGCTGGCGGGAGAAATTAAGGACCTCGTCAGCAAGATGGACAGCGATGCGGCTTGGGCAACTCACGGCCCTGATCCCAAGAGAGCGCAGGACAAGAGCATGCGAGCCGGGACGCGACTTTACGAGCTCTACATCGCAATCCAGGATTTCGTTATGTTTCGTCGATCATTCGAAAACTACAAGTGAGTCAGAACGATTATCCCATTCGGAAGCAACGAGTTTACGCAATGGTTTTCGACGAGGGAATTTATGCTGCTCGATCGAGCACAACTATTATTGTCGACGTATCGACGCAATTCTGCTACTTCTCCCGAATGGGATCATGGAAGTGTGGCTCCATAATTCATGATAATAATCCATATGCATAAGATCCCCTGAAATTCTAAAACCCGACGCTGAACTCTCCCCTGACAGGCCCGCCAAAGAGGAATTGACGCTGCATCAGTTTCACTTGTGGTTTTCGGAAGCGGTGCAGAACTGGTTCCTGATGGCGAAGGTTAAGTCGAAAGGCATCATCACGAATGCCGTAGACGTCGACGCTGAGGAGAATAAGTTCAAAGCTCTGGACCAGGTGAAGCACAGTGCGTCCGCCGTCGACGTAGCTGGCTGCATCAAACAGATCAAATTGTTCTGGAAAGAGCTCGATTGGCCCGACAAGGCTCAATCTTACCCCCTGATAATAAAAATTCTCGAGGCTATATGCGACTGTGCTCTACACTACGTCGGCCTTTGTCATTCAAAGCTCGACTCGGCAGGATACTTCGACTTCGAAGGGCAGTTCGACGTCGCCAGCGAGGTGAATTTTCTTAACGCTTATCCCTTCGGCTCCTATTTGCCCCCCATGGTCTTGCCGGGCGTACATAGAATCGCCTAATTGAGCAGATCTCAGATCAGAACTCGTGAGCTCCCACCTGTAGGCACATTCTTAAATTGCGAATGAAGAATTATCCAGATATGTAGAGGAAGACTTGTTCGTGGGTATATGATGCTCCGGAGGCTCGAAGAATCTCGAGGAACAGGCTGGCACCCAGGACCGTCGCAAATAAACCAGCGAGGTATCCTCTGATCGTTTCAGGTTTGCGTGATTCTCTCGAATATCGAGTTCGTCCGGGACTACATCCTGACCTTGAGTAAAGATCTTCATGTGCAAGATGTTCTCGATGCCATCACTGAAGTCGAGGGCGAAAGCACCGCTGTGCAGTGCCGAACCGCAATCGAGGCCATGATTGAATCAACCGATGATGACGTCGTCAACAAAACTCTCTTCATTCTCAAAGGCCTCGGCGAGAAAGTGAGTCTCCGCTTCAATGATGCAATTTTCTCCAAGGCCAGCGTTCAACTGGTGAATGACTTTTCGAAAACGAGGCCGCTCCGCAGGATCGGTATTTGATTATTAGATTCATTGAGCGAGGAGTCTTTTGAGAACTCCTCTCGGATAGACAATCTGCCACTTTCGACATCCACTTCAAGTCTCGCTTTGCGACCCTCAATGCGAACCGTCTGAGCTTCAGCGGGACCTTAGACGTGGTACGGAGCGTCCCTCCACAATTTCGTCACCGACATTGTCGGGGAATACACGCATATACTCCCTCTACCCTCGGGGAAATACATCGGCCAGGGGAATGAATCCATAGCATCGGGATGAGGGCCATGGCTGGATACCGGGGTCAAAATGTAAATTTTCTGATGATTTCTTGATCCATCGGGTGCCCGGCTTTCTGTCACACCTCACGTCATGCCTGAAATTTCTTCCCTAAACATTCACCTTGAAACCATGGAGTATTTAACCTGCAATCGGATAGATCAGCGATGCGGAGCTTCCCCCTCCGAGAAGCTCCCTGACGTTGATCTTAATCGGTTGCGGAACTCTTCTGGAGTGAACTCGCATTCCTTTTCGTGGGAAATCGCCGCTTGGATCGAAAGACGATCGATGCTGAATATGGCGCATGAAATCTCTGCCGAAGCGAGCGGGGGCTATTGTGGAGCTGTGTTGGTCAATGGGTCAGCCGATTCTCCTTCGCGAGAGCAACTCCCGCGTTGCATTTGGCTCATAAGCCGGCGACAACATCAGGACTTCGCCCGGGGCAAGCTGAACTTTCGGCAATATTCTGCGCCCAAACCTATCGCCGACCCTCGGGATAACATCTCGGACCAATTTCTTGCGGATCTTTCGCCGCGACGACGACGGGATCAGCGGGATATTTGACAGCCGGGCGGATGTCGAGCATCGCGGGTTTCCACAAGGCACGCCCCCACCTTCTCCCTGCTTAGCCTGTCCGGGAGCGCGCCCGGGTTCTCTCGGTTCCAAGGTTCTGACCCTATCACAGCTTTCGTTTGACTATTTCCAGATCCGACCGGAAATTCGCAAGTGCATGAATCACGTCGCATCCGAGCCGCAGAAGCGAACCGTCGAGGAATCGCTCGAGCCGCTATACGAGTACCTCGAACAGAATCTGGCTATGACCTACAACCAGTTGGAGCACGTGAATTTCTATCGATTCAGCCAGAGAATCTGGTCGGTGATCATCGAGGAACTCCGCAACCTAGCATGGCAACACCGAGGTGGTAAGCAGGAATTTTTCGAGAGGCTGAACGAAGCTTCGGACAAAATCGGGACGTACATGCACGCTTCCGGGAACGGTCTCACGCTCCAACACGTCAAGTCGGAGGAATTCGAGGTGAGTGAAATAAAAATAAGCGATGAGAGAAGATGCTCTCGAGACGGCTAGGAAACATTTTCCATCGGTATCGGGGAGCCTCCACCCATAATCGAGTCTAATGGAATAGTATGAACATCAATATATGCGGATACGGCATGGACGAATCCCCTCTACCTCTCGGTAGAATCTCCGGCGTCGTGATCCTGCGAATCCGATTGCCAGGAAGCAAGATTGACGCTGAGGACGTTCCTATACACCGCCCAATCGCGTTTCCTCGAACGCTCACGCAGCTCGGCTGCACCACTCCAGAGAACGGCTTCGGACACAAAGACCTCTTGAGACCCCTTCGCACATTTTCAATTCAAGTGACTTTTCATTGCCATGCGCCGTCTCGCTCGTTGCTCTCTTCCATCGAGCTTTCGTCTTCGTTGGCTATTGGGGTCGACTGCGTGGAAAATAAATGATTTACGCGAGCGTTTGTGTTCGAGTACAGTTTCAAATAAATCCTTCGCGTGTGAAAGGAGTCAACGAGTCGATAGGCGAAGCATCGCAGGAAAAATCTTTTTCGGCAGAGATGCGTCGCTGATGAAGCGAAATCGAATGTTGTTATTAAGACGGTGGACGGGAAAAAACTCCCGTCACGCTTCGGATGCGACGCGTCGACCGCTCGCAGTGGATACTCTCGGCCAATACCCATTCTAGAACGTCGAGCGCAAACATCGTTGCCAGCAGGGCTCAAGCAAGACACATAGCTCCTATAGTTGCCTCCGCTCTTGGGCGGAAGGGGAAGGGGGAGGGCGAGCCGGCCCGATGGGAGAGATGGGGGGGTTGGCGCCGAAGCCACGGACCCCGGCTCAGCTGTGAGACACTCGAAAGCCTACAACTTCTATTTCTCCTTGCCAAAACGTGGCAATCTCCTTAAATTACTTGGCCCCGTCCTTTTGCTTTGCCTGCTCGCCCACTCGCTCGCTTGGTCTGAAGCTCGTTCTCTTCCTGTGAATGTCGTCAAGCCTCCGACGTTCGCCGTTGATACCCTTCCCGCTCGGTCGGGGCTTCTGGACAGATGGCTTGCGCTCGAATGTTCGAGCAGGGATAACTCACGCTCGTTTTTCTCAAACCGTGCTCCGACCTCTGTGCCGGGTGTCGTTCGCGCCAGCAATCGAATTGGGGTCCTGACAACACACGAGAATAACAAGACGTCTTCTCCAATCTACATGTGATCTTCATCTGAATTTCAATGGGAGCTATCTCGATTCTCGTTTCGTACGCAAGTCGAGCCGAATTCGCCGGTCGGGCGGAAGGATCATCGAAGAACCTGCGTTGAGCTCCGGAATCGTCCGCAATACTTATCCGTTCTCCGTCGTTTTGATCGGCTCGGAGGGACGGGGGCAACGCGTCCCTGGCGGTGTCGAGACCACGATCGGCGAATCTCCGCCATTACCGTCGCGTTGAGAGCTTTTCCATGTTTGAAATTACAAGTGACGGGGAGTTTTACGGTTGTTCCGGAAGCTTTCTGGCTGACGGTTTGCCGGCTTGGTTCGTATCGCTGAATCGGGATCCCCGCCCATGATTCCACGCCGCGCCGGAGAGCGAAGGTGTCAGACCCAGTAGTACTCGTGCAGGCCAATTTCGGATGCGAAGGAGATCCGGGGCCAATCTTTCAGCGCTGACTCTTGGATAAATAATAATCGAAGCGGTGTGAAGCACGCGCTCAGGCTCGAGTGACTCCCCGAATAAGTGTCCGCTCTCCTCCATTCTCGACGTTTTTCTATCCGAGTCTTTTGTCTTTGGATGAGCAATCGTGAATCGGAAATCGAAGATCGGCTCGGATCGGGGGCGGCCCTCGAGATGGTCGGGAGCCGGGCGGGTCGGGCGTCCCTATTGCGAAACTTTCACTTCGCGTTGTGGAACGCCACTCTCACCCAGTTATTTCATTCGCTCAATCCACAGCGCAGGGAAAAGCCGACGATTGCCGTTCTCGGAGGGGTCTTCATCGGGGTATCTATTGAAACTTCCAGATCGAGTCGGAGACCCTGTGGCCTAAGTGCGGCACGCCGCGACGCCGACGTGTCAAGGGTTCGCCCATTGACACCCCTGCAAGAGTATGTGTGCTCCGCTGAACTTACGCTGCGTCACAGATAGAGAAATTATTTGATGGAAATACGTGCGAGCCCAATCGGGAGCAATGGTCGTCATAGTTCGAATCGTCCTACAACTAGAAGGAAATCTTCTTGTGGAATTATTGTGGCTGAATCCAGGCGTTGTCTCTTTAGTCCGACCGAGCCACTCAGTCAATCAGTCGGTCGGTCGCGGTCGGTCGGTCGGAGACTCGTGCGACTAGTCCCATTCACAAGACCTCCATCGTGACCTTCTGTGCCGACCTGTCGTTAAGGAGAGGGACCGCGGGATGTGTGTGATTTTCTGGGACCCGGCACGTAGCATAAGTTTCGACGAGGTGGGCGGTGTACGTGACTCGCTAAGTGACAGGAAGTGTGTAAGTCGGACTTGACAAGAAGTCATACGACTAGCTTCAAGAGAAAATGTGCCTTGTAGGGCGGTTTCTTGGTGCTGGAGCGCGAGGACTTTCATTGTCATGTGGGAAACAATCTCTCGACCCGGAAACTTCCCGTCCCGTGCTTCTGCATCGTTTATCCTCTAATCGGCAGAGGCACTTTTTCGTGCTTTCATCGGTCGAGTAGAATGTTTTCTTCTCTCCTCTACTCGGTTAGCGCGGTGCCGGTGTGGCGTTCACAACTGTTTTCCCGCAAAGACTTCCGTATTCATCGGCGTACCTATAAAATGAGTGGTCCTGGAAGGACGCAGACATACCGGAGACTTTCGGCGCGTCGAAAGAACCGTCTCCGGGAGGATGGTTTGGAAAAAGAATCCCGCATGGAACGATTCAAATGGGGTCGTGTTTATCATTGAGACGTTCGGCTCTCTTTTCGAGCCGACTCCAACCTCGCGAACCTCTCTGCGAGGAATGCATTTTTTTCTTTGATAGTGAGCCATTTACCCAGAGATTGAGACAGAAAGAAACAGGGTATGTTGACACGGGATTCCTGACCAGACAGATCGAATTAATCACCGATCGTCAGGTAGGGAACATTCTCCGCTAGTCCCCGACACGTAAGCTGTCGCTCATCACAGTTTCAAGCCCGAGCACTGAGCACGGGGCTCGAGGCAACGCTTCCGGAATACTCCGGTGAAAACTGATCTCTGACGTCACGAATACAGCTCCACTCAGAGGAAACCTACTAACCCTTCGAATGTCTCTGACTAACCTCTTTCTCTCTACGACACTGTTGTTTTACTCGCTGCGGTCTTTGACGCTGTTCCTCGGTCAGGCTTTGTCTCTCGGAGGGTCGTAAGAAACACTTGCTCCCAGGCTTGTCGACTTTTTTTATTCTCCAGCGGGCGTCTCGCATTCAGCCGTCAAGACTGGGAAGCTCCCTGTGGAACCGACCGATCCGACAGTCTTCGACTCTCGGGGAGACTTCCGCCCAAGGCTCTCTATTTCCCCGAGAGGGAGTTTCCAGAGGCTGGACCGTGAACTCATTGTTGGGAGGGCAGATGAACGAGTCACTTACGAGCGAAAATTAAAACAGACGGCCAAGCAACGGCTGGTTGGGCTATCTACTGATTTTGTTTCTGGTCCGTGTTCGGGCGTAAATTATTGGTATGGCTGATGATGTGGTCTAGTTCGGCTCATGTCGTTCGTTCGACCACCCGTCTGCCCGCCAAAGCGTCCGCTCCCCCGACTGCTCGGCGCAACCAAGCATTGTGTTATTCGACCGGGGTTGTGGAGCCTTGCTTTATGCTCCATTACGTGATTCCCCAACCCGGAACCTCGGCCCGAAAGCCCATATCGTCGTCAGCCCGTGTCCTTATCAGTTTTCACCGAACGAGTCCCGCTCACACACAACGGGGGAGGGATCGATTTTATGCAGCGCCGGTCATGAGGGAAAGTTTCTCCGAAGTTTCGATCGAGCTACGATTTCTCTTGGAAGCAGATCGAGATCAAAAAATGTCGCGGGAGGGGCTTTGCAAATAATGGACGAGCACGAGAAGGATATTTCAAGCTTTTGAGTTCTCGGGGACCCCGGGGAGATCCTCGGCGGGAGAGGAAAAGTGAATTTCGCTGGTTTGATGTCAATGGCAGCGCACATGCTGGTAATCGATCCTAAGGTTCGTTTCCGAAGCAGCTCGTCGAGGTTCGGTGTGAGATTCGGGCAGAGCATAAAGCATGATCTTCGAGGGCGTGCCCGAAACGATCATTTTCTAGGGAGGAAAAGAAGCAAGCGGACATTCCCGGTGGGAGGAGGGGATTGGCGCGAGAGAGAGATTTGATAAGGCGGCTTTGGACGGCTTCGACGTCAACATCGGAATGGCAAATCATCGGAAGGGGCGAATGCCCCCTCTACCCTTGTGTCAATCGTCCAAGTCTACGACAAACAGACAGACTTTACGTACATCTGTATGAGGCCCTGAATATCGTTCCAGCAACTGAAAGCCCAACTGACACGGATGTTGACGCCATCGCGACTTCTCATATCGGATTATTTCGCTGCCCGAATAGCGAAACAGAACGATCGCATTGAAGCCATCACACCTGGAGCTCATCAATATGGATTTCTGGCTGTGAAAGCGGCTCTGATGTCCGACTCGAAGGAGATCTATGTCCACGGTAAGCTTTTCAGGCGGGAACTTTCAAATCTAGATTTCGCGGAGAAATGCTCTCTCCATCTGATTGAATTCACAGTCGTCGGACGGAATGACGAGCACCTATTCGAGACGAACCCATTATTCGAAGAACCTGTCGATCTGTGAGGCAGTCCATGGGCCTACCGAAGGCCGACCAGAGAGGCCTCGATCATGAGATGAATTGGCGCGACGTTTCCCTCGAAGGGAAATGATGCCTCTGGAAAATGGATTCATCAATCACAAGTGAAGCTCTCGAGTGCGAATTATAGAACAAGCAGATCTCGATTATTTTCCAGTTCTTCGGGCTAGAGATCTTCGCAGCATGGACTCGAATGGGTCGAGCGACCCGTATGTGAAAGTCGAGCTGGTACCGCGACACGTCTTCATGGAGACTCCTTCCTATAAAACGAAAGTGGTCAAGAAGACCACTAATCCGGTTTGGGGAGAAGAATTCGTCTTGTAAGTGAATGCAACTGACTAATTCCCAGAATATATTGAGGGTCATGAGATTCGAAGATCAGGGAAGGAGGCGGATTCGGAGCTCCGAAACATGAGAACGCGAGCTGGGTTCAGCCGAGGCACCCAGATAAACCTAATCGCGAGTTAACACGAAGTTTCTCCCGACGGATATTCACATCTACACGTGGAGCTGCATGCCCGCGGATCCCTCGGGGGTCCTAGCCGGGAGCGGAAGAAATTGCGAAACGAGAGTGGCTCTCTGAATGGACTGCGGCAGGACTTATTAACATACTCTTGCTAGAAAGCCGTCATATTCCAGACGAAGGTCAGCCGAGTCAGCTGACCACGCTGCAGTCGAGTGTCGCGTCTTGTGTCCCGAGAACTCCCACAATTTCTACCTTCCCCATAAGCTGCTCTGAACATTCTAATCCTCCTCAGCCGTCCGCGGTGTCCGCCACGTTCCTCGAGTCGACGGGGGCAGTTGCGGCAGCAGCAGCAGCGGGAATTCGTTTCGGACATGTTACCAAGACTTGTCCAAGCCCGGAAGCAGCTGTGTTTTTGCGCGACCTCCGAATTTTATGACAGAAGCGAACTCGTAAAAGCGCCGATTTGATTCGGAAACTTTCTACGTATACGATCGAGTGTCCGGCATGCCGATGCCCGCCTCTGTGTTGCGCTTGTCTCTTATTGCGTAGAATCTCCATCACTTAATTCTTGGAATTTATTTTCCTCATTTGCAGTAAATTGGAGGACGGTGTAGCTCCGAAAGACTTCGATCCGGCGATGTGTATCCGATTCACGGTGATGGACCACGACTTGGTCGGAGCGAATGATTTCGAGGGCGAGTGCTTCCTGGGTCTCCGAGACTTACCCGTCATCGATTCGAGCGGCTTCGTTCAATTGAATTCGATTGATATAATTGACATGCCACTGACGCAGCCAGAGGAAAAAGGTACGTCTCGGCTATCTGAGAAGAGATCGCCTTGATGCTCGTTGTTGTCTTTCCCAAGTGGATCTGGAGATCGATGGGAAACTCTCCGCTGTAGCTGATAGTCTACTTGCTCTCCATTAGCGCTTCCCGAATCGCCGGGAGATTCCACTCTTGCAGACCATGAAGTTTTACTTTGTTCGCTGTACAAGACACGATTCGATCCGGAGAGAAATGCGTAGTCAGAACTTTCCGCGCATCTCGATGGGCCCTTCATTGATTCTAGGAGCTCGTCGCTCTTTATTTGACTTATAGGGCTGGAGTTTCTTCTCGGAACTTTTCCCGCGAAGTCTGAGCAGAGCAGAAGCTCTCTAATAAACCAGAGTGAATAGTCATGTTTCCAAACTTTCCGCCTTACAGACGAGTTCCTGGGAATTCTAGAGAAACGCAAATGGGATTCCGAAGCGGTGAAATTCTCCGGGGAGCAACGTAAAAAGCAGATGTAAGCGTTGTTCGTCGACGATCACAGCCTTTCCATTCTCCTTTGATGAGGATGCTGATGCTGCATGGCTCTCCCACCGACCAATCTGCTTTGCATGCCTAAGCTTACTAATCGCAGCCGCCAGTCACTCGATTCCGCAAATCGTTTTGTAAAGCTTCCGGTGCTTTATATCATTTGGTGGTGCGTTGCGGGCGAACGACCGACGGAAACTCTTCTTTTCCCCGCCGACCGCCCCCTCGCGGAAGGCGGTATTGCGGTACGCGGCGAGAGCTTGACCCTGAAAATTTTGACCGGAGTTGCCATTCCAAGGGCTCGCTCACGCATCTGGTTCCATTGACCTTCTTCTCGCGTCGATCTCGCAGGTGTAGGCGACTGCTTCTTTGTGGGAAGATTCCAATGTCGTATTTCCTCGCCTTGAATGTGACAGCGATCGTTCGAATTCTTTGCAGTCTTAGCGACGATTCGTGAACAACGTCCTGTCTCAGGACGGAGCAGTTATCGACGATCGTGCCACTTCACTCATTCCTTCACGTCCAGTTCATCAATGGATTCGTCAATCAATTTGTTGATCGAGGATGCTTCATTAAGTTATTTGCATTTGTTCATGTGTCGAATAAAAGAGCCCCAGCTAATTTAAATGAAACCTCAGCCTGCTTCCTAGCTCAGTGCGGTACTTTCACGGAGCAGGAGATCGATGCTACGTCCATCGCCGTCTTCTAGTCAAAGCTCTCATCCAACGTCTCTCCCTGAACGCCGAACACTGCAACGTGTCTCTTCCGAGCACTGAAGTGTTTGGAGGATGAGATAACTTCGGCAGAACCTGTTTCCAAGGAGAACCAGAATAAAGACGTGGAGCAGAATAATGACTGAATCTTGTTGAGGGCGTCAGTCTACATAGGTCTAGAGTCGGAGAGGCTGTGTCAGGTGACAGCATTCCTTCTGTTAGGAATGCCGTCAGACCAGAATGACTGCTCCGCTATCGAGTATTACAAATGCAATCAGATAGTTAGGGCTAGCTGGCACATATGAGTTTCCCAGGCGGATCACGACGCACGGATGAGCTCTACGCAGTTTCCGTCCGGAAATTCCATTCGAGTTTAGCTGTTGTTCATCGTTGTCACGTGCTCGTCGCGATGAAAAGTGTTTCGGACCGACAAGCACGGGCTACACGTACTGCGAGTCTGGACGTGTTTATCTTCCTGTTCATCTTGTTGTGTATATTAGATATTTTTTATTAGCTCTGTCAACACCGGGACGTCGGTGCCTGAATCCAATATGGAGCGAACTCTAATCGGACCATACTTCAATGGTTGCTCAACCTCATAGAGAAATTTCATGACGGCAGCGCAATGAAATATACATACGTCATCTACGAAGCCGCGGCTACGATGACGAGAAGTTGGATGTCAGATAGGTGCGGATAATTGTGATGTGTCAGCCGACCGCTGCGTGCATCTCCTGCGTCGCCGTTCCCGACGGCGATTTGGTACCTTATCATCGCAGCAGCGCCCCGGTAAGATTGTTAACAACGACCGATCAGAGTTTTCTTCGTACCGTGTAGCAGGTTGCTTTATTGGGGACTCCGATCAAGAAAGGGATTCGGGCGAGCGAGCCGAAACTCGGAGGCGATTTCCTTTCGGTCTCTCGAAGATTTTCGGCTGAGGTCTCTCCCCAAGTTTTATCGTCGGAAACCGGCGACGAATCACTAAAGCCGTGTCCTCTGTCGGTCATTCACATCTGGAGTTTACGTGTGGACTCAGAAATTCGACTCAACTTAACGGAAGTCGCCCCAGCCGGGAACTGCAAGATGTGAAGACCCGTTCCGACCCGGGTTTTAGTCGGGGCTCGACAGATGGCGCTACAAGAGTACGGGATGAGGAGGAGACCGCGCTCAGTTGAGATTAGTAGTGTTAGAGTGTAGCTCGGTGAGCGCGGAGACTACTGTCACGAGCACCGAGCAACGTCGTGCGTATTTCTTCGAGAAAGTGCTCAACGTGCATTGTACGTCGTCGCAGCGACGGCCCGATGTTCTTCGAAGGAGAGCAACGCTAGTGGTCGCAATAGGACCACCAGAGAACCTCTTCCGACGAGTTTGATAACTTTTCGAAACTTTGTGATAAGTTTTGCAAACTTCTTGCACAGTGATTAAGTCGCGATTCGGGTCGTCCGTTGTCGATCGCAGGCTCGGATTTTCAATTTCTCACGCTTGCCTAGGATTAAAATCAGCGGTAATTCGCCGTAGACGTCGCCGCGGCCGCCGCTGCAGCCGCGTTGAAGCAATAACGCGAAGCTTGTAGTTGGGAATCGTCGATCGCTCCGAGACTTTGGAAAGCTCTTCGAACAGATGTTCTGCAGTGTCTGGCCGCATCGCTCAGAGACTCGCATGACGGCCTCCTCAGTCGTCGCCACCGTCAATGCCGTTCTCGTTGCCGTCGTCGCTACCGCTGCCGCCAATACCGTGATACAGTCGTCGTCGTCGCCCCAACTTCCATCGAGTGCTCCTGAAATTCTCCACATTGCCCTCGAGTGAGGATGATGAGCTGTCAGTGCGCTCAGCCCTCGTGTGTCTCCGTTCCAGCGTTTTACGCGAGCTCAACGTCGGGGTCGAAACGTGCGTCTCGGATCACGGCGTGAATCTCAGCCTCGTCGGATTCGTCTCTGGAGCAGTGGCGGAGCTCGACGGCGGCGAGAATACAAGTTCAAGCCCCGAGTGGTTGGCAGCGCCATGGATCCGGCGGCCACGAACAACACCATCAACGAGTGGCTGGCGATGGTCAGCCGGCTCAACATCAGCAATAGCAATCTGAGCGAAGAAATGATGACCAAGATCGCCGCCTCGGTCCTGAACGCAACCGTCGAGGATCTCGACGAGCGTTCACTTTCGGAGAAGATCACGATGACTATTCTTTACAGCTTGATATTCATAACGGGAGTCGTAGGAAATATCGGCACGTGCCTCGTGATCGCCATGAACCGCTATATGCACACGGCGACAAACTATTACCTGTTCTCGCTGTCGATCTCAGACCTGTTGTTGCTCTTGCTCGGTCTACCGAACGACACCATCCTGATATGGGCTCCCGAATCGCAATTCGGTTGGACATTCTGCATAACGAGAGGCTTTCTCTCGGAAACAGCGACCGATGCGTCCATTCTCACCATCACGGCGTTCACCATCGAACGGTACGTGGCCATTTGTCATCCATTACGGGCCCATCGTGTCTCGACGCTCGAGCGTGCCGTCAAGACGATCCTGCTGGTTTGGACAGCCGCCGCGATCAGTGCCTATCCGATTGTGTCTCAATACGGGATCAATGCCGAAGGCATCTGCACGACCGTCTACCCGGTCGAGAATCTGTTCCTCATATCGACAGTGTTGTTTTTTGTGGTGCCGCTCACCGTGATTGTGGTTCTCTATGTTCTTATTGGAGTTCAGCTACGACGGTCTTCGTGTGCGGGGACTCGAAGGGACGTATCGCCTGACGCGCGGCCCGACTACGAGAACGGCAGCGTCCGTTCGTGTAAAACGCCCCGACATACGGGAGGCTCGAAGCGTGCCGTCGTCAAGATGCTCGGTGAGTTCATAGCTTTCTAGAGGAACAGAAACGCGAAACTGCGTCGATTCCTCGACAATAATAGTTGTGCTCGATCGAGCAGCATATATCCCCTCGTCGAAAATCATCGCTTAACCTCAGTGCTCGATAATCTCAAGCTTATTTCCTCGTGAGGTCACTCGAAGGTTTTGACCTGATCAAGTCAAATATTGAATTTTTGGTCTCCGGTCTTTTCCGTCTTTGCCGAAACCCCTTCACCCGTATATCCCATCGTTGTTCTCATGATGCCAAACCTTCGCCTTGAAGTATTAAACCTTGATTCTCACGTGTACCGAAATAAATACTAGCTTGGCTGGGATCGATGGTCGCGAAGGTACCGCATCCCAGGTGATGGGGATAAATAAAGTTCTCGGGTTCGGATGAATTAGTCTCCGGGACGGTCAACTACGGAGGTCCATCGCTTCGTTGTGAGTGTCTGCCCATCGTGTCCGCTCCGATCGTCCTGAGAGGAGGCTCAAGAGCTTTGAGACATCACGCTCAGAGAGATCGATGGATCTTGTGATTCGTGTTCCCGAACTCGCGACTTCACACTCGATGAACACCGGTGATGGTGTTGATATCTCGTTCGCTCACAATGCGAGTCTAAATTCGAGAACCATTTGCGTGGTCCACGGCGTTTCGCACTCATCGGCGAACGACTCAGCGGGCAACAATCACCTTCTCACCACATCAGATATCCGTTGTCTTGTGAATGAGCCGTGGGTCTTGAACCACTATAATCGTCCTCGCGCTCTGACTTACCTAGGTTTGAACAATCAAGCTATTTATATGCGCACTGAGGAGGTCCGATTAAATGTCGGATCATGTGTTGCGTCAGAAGAATTCAAATGTGCAGTCGATCATGGTCATTGCAGTCGTCTTGAACCTTCTATTTCGGAGGTGAAACAATCTCGATCGTCGATCTGAGTGTGCGAGTGCGATATACCATGCCGCGAACCGTATCCGTTGATGCTTCTTGAGTCATCGCGAATGTGAGCGGTCGGTCCGCAATCGATCTGGGACGACTTCCTTCGTTTTGTCATCAGGCGCATTTCACAACAAATATTCGCGTTGAACGAGCGGTAAACAGACCGGCACTGAGCTTATCGTTTGATGAGAGCGGCAATAATCCCGAACTGTTTTCCGCCTTGGCTCGGGAGGTAGAGTCTCCGAGTTTCGTCTTTTACTATCCAAGTCCGGCGCTCACGGGAAATGAGTGGGAGAAAAGAAGAGCTGGGAGTCGCGTCGCGAGCGCTAGACTTCGGAGCTTCTCAACTTTGTCTGAGAGCGCATCTTCGCGCCCTCTCCGCGAAAGGCAACCGCGACGATTCGACAACAGGACGCAACAAACCACATCAGACTGCGAACATCGTCGCAGCCTGTGTCACATGACGGATGGATGTCACTTCCATGGGAAAACTCCGTCCACGGAGCTGAAAAAAATCCCTCGGCAAGAGAAGATGGAATTCCGCAGATGAGTACACGAAGTTGAAAAATGATGAACGAAACAGAAGGGAAAACTTTCGGCATGTTCCTTCGGGACATGTTCCCGTCGAATCATGCAGCTGACGACGGTCATGAAGTCGAGCACAGACCTCTAGCTCTCTGGTCATGCCTGTTTGACGATTCCTCTCGAGTTTGACGATACGAGCACCCGCCGTTTAAATTGACCCGTAGACCCGAAGCTGCAGTCCCATGAGATCTCGCCATGAAAACAAAACTTGGTAGAATTCTCAGGACGGGGAAAGTGGACGGAGTTCCTCCGGAGACGACGCGACGGGAAAAACGCGGAGGCTCCGTTTAATGCTTGTGCTTTTGGCAAGGGTCCAGACTACGAGCGAAAATACATCATTAACGTTCAGGACAACATGTAAAACTTCGTAGGCCTCCCACGTCGACTGCGACCGTCAACTCGGGTCTGAAAACGACCACCCCAGATGCTAAACGAGACGAGGTCCCGTCAACGAAACTACCGTGAACCTCAGCCTTGTTTCGCTCTTAAGGAACTCTACGTGGATTTTATCTCAAGCGTAGTCGAAGAGCTCGACGGTGAAGCCGACTGTCGAATGAGATTTATAGTTCCTCGGATCCTATTGTGCGCGATCCAGGTCAAGATATCCGATGACATTCCGATATTAGGTAGTTCCAATCCCCGCCAAGAGTGAGCTCGGCTAGAGGAAGCTCCCTGTCGCTACCAGCTGACCGCTGAGTTATAATGGATTCGCCGGTGAGGGAATGGTTCTACCGGTGGTAACTGCCCGTCCGGATGCAGCGTTACAATGTTCCAAACCAGCCCATCGTTGATCATCGGCCGCAACGGGGTCTGTTCGGAGCGAATGGGAGGATTTATATGCCCATGAAGCGCTTGAGTTCAGAGCTGGGGACGAAACGCACTCCGCAGCGTCTGAAGCGTTGTTTATGCCTCCATGAGGGGTCCCATGACGTTTGAGCTCAAGCGAGCAGGAGCACAGCGGAATCCCCGCCGCAGACGATCCTCTCTCGCGTAGCGATTTTTTTCGCGAGGTGCTCGGCCGTCTGAGAGCGGATTAAGTCTGCGCGCAATCCTATTGACGGGTTCTTTCCTTGTCTGGTCCCGTCTCTTTAATCTTTCAGTGAAACACGATCTCGCAGATCAGGAAGCGTAGCTGTTCGACCCATTCTGAATGAGCAATGCGGGATTGGATTGGTTCGTTTCCGCTTGTATTTGGCGGAGTTTCCCGGGTCATCGCTGCGAGTGTCGTCGAATTACAGTTCAATGAAGTCTCAACGAACACCATCATAACGAGCTTCCAGTGGAATGAACACTTTTCCTCCTCAACTTGGCTGGCTTGCTGTAGCGATGGTGACGCAAAACATTCGTTACAGCGAACTTCCATCACAACGAGCAAATTTCTCAGTTCCGCGAGGTTCGTTGTAACGAGATCTTAATGCAAGAATTGGATTGGTACTCTTACTCATTACCACACCTGAGCGATCGATCTCGCTGATAACAAGATTCATTGCTTCTGTGCCCGAGCCTAAGCCCGGAGCCTATCTGCAGGGATCAGAGATCGGTGCAGAAGTGCTCCACGAGCATCACCGTGTCTCCTCCCACCATCTTCCCATTCATTCGGCTTCCGGAAGAAGGAGGAACGGGGGCGATCCTCGAAAGAGTCGTTTCTCAGCGGTACCTACATAGATCTGCGGAATCCAAGTCCGGGAAAGGTCCAATCGACCGATGCTGTGGAACCATTCTTTTCCCGCAGAATCCTCAATCTTCTCCCCGATGTTTGTTTTTGATTCTCGAGGAACCCTCATCTCCGTTCGCCTTCCGTAGGAAGTGCACGGTGCTCGCCATGGGAGATTCCAATGAGACTACCTTCATGAAACGTGATCCGGCCGTGTAGTTTGAGGCTTCCTGATCGGAGATCCCGAAAAGGTTAACGAGAAGCCCACTATGAAGGTCCGCAAATGTTTGTTGAAGCTAGCATTAGTGAACAGACAGTCGAGTTATTCGGTTCAAGTGCGCTCGAACATCCGTCGATTTTTCGAGAGCTTGCTCAGAACACACATCGAGTAGGTCCCTCGGAAGCTGCGCGGCAGGCTGCTCGTCGTAAGGGGATGTCCCTACCGTTCCATGAAGAACGTGACTTCTTTTGCGGCGACAGGTTCGAGATTCTTTTGAATTTCGTCGCTTGATTGGAGTCTTCGAATACCCAAGCCATCAGGATTCGCGGATCGCCGCGCCGGCGCGAATCCCAAAAATTTGATCAGTCGGAAAGATAATCAAGCTACCTCACTCACTCACTCAAACTCTCTTATCCCGCTCTGACGTCATCTGAGGCTGCCGGGCGTATAGTATCTCTGAGTTATTCCGGGCACCGAGTGGCCGGGAAAACCGGTCACGTTTCACGTGAGACGATGGGGGTGACTACACTCGAGACTTTTCGTTTAGAGCAAAAAGCCCCACGATTTGTGAGGGAAAAAAAGGAAAAAGAACCAAACGCAGACAGCTGTTGCCAATCGGGTGAGCGCTCAACCGAGCGGCGGAGCTTTGAATTGAGCCAATACCGCCTGAATACTAACGACATTCATTGTGAATGAGCCATCGGATCGAATTTCGACTTGGAACGACGTGAAAATGATGGTATCCCGGCTTTGCGGACATTCGCAGCGAAAACAGCCAACGTCATTCCCACGCTCATGGTCGTCTCGCCTTTCAACATACTCGAACCGCTTCGAAAGCTCACTCAGACCTGAGCGCAAGGGCGAAATTTCAAGCGAGGAAATGAGCGAAAAAAAAGGAAGCTGGGTGTTACAGTCGCTTCTAAATGAGCTGCCGCTTCTGATGATAGACTCAGACGAGAGCAGCGTTCGGGTCGGTGTGTCGTCAGCAGCTGACTCGAGTCTCGAGCCGACAGCGAGCAGACGAAGCGACAACTGGGAAAAAACATCTTCAATTATCCTCGATCACACGACCGTCTTCGCATGCCGGTCTGTTGATGTTTCAGTATCGTGCTTTAACGCCTCGCCTGATTTCAAGATCTTGGACAATGCGGCCGGCGCTCGGGCGGGATCATCGTCCAGACATCGACATTGTGCGATTGTCCCGGAACTACGTGATCTCGATGAGCCGGGACGGGCTACCGATTTCATTCCGAGCATGAGGAGCACTGGATCGACTTCCAGATTCACCGCTCAATTGAGGAACGAATTGATAATCGAGATGAAGCGGGAGGTTTCGCGTGGATCGGCCTCGGAAAGAGAACAAGCCACATGGTGCCGCACGGAAACAGGCCCGGGAGAGCATTCAGAAGGAATCCCCTGAATTCGGTGAAGCCTGATTGCGGCCTGATGTCGCTATAAATGGGATGTGTCGTCCCGGAAATTCATGGGATGCTGGAAGTCCCGTCGTATCGGAATGGGGACGAGCCGAGGCATGCGCGATTCAGGCGCGTTTTCATCTCCGGGAATCATCACCGGAAGGACGATTAGCGTGATGG